AAAGGCATGTTTTAGAGTCTCTATACTCCAAATAATGCTCAATCAATGACTAAATTAGTTGAATAATTGATTAAACACAATTAATCCGATTAATTGTTTCAGCCCTAATTGAAACTCATTCAGGGATGCACATGTGCAGCTGTTAGCATTGATGCTTCACAGTAAAAGGAGTCCTGGGTTTGAATCCCAGCAAGGGTTTGAGATAAATATTTCACTCAAATTTTAAGATTAATGTAATCTTAGTACAAAACAATTGTTCAGAATTTTGACACAAACCTATTAAACCAAACAGGATACGTATTCATTTATATAATAAAGCTTATTCATTTGAAATTTTCTAGACTAATCAGGTTTATGTATTTAGTAATAAAAAGTACTCAAAATTATTACTAATGGGATTATTTATTTCAAATACAAAAAGTTTAATGTTCAAAATTGCATAACCTAATTACCAAGCAACTCAAAAATAATTTTTATGTATCTGAAATAAATAAACACATTTGTATACATTTTTAAGGATACTTTATTCATTTTAAATGTATAAACCTGACAACCCGGTATTTAAATAAATAAGCTATATAGGGCGGAAACAGTGAATCTGATTAATCATGATCAATCGATTATTGAAATAATTGAAATATTGAAATATTTGTCAACATATATAGTAATTATAGTAAAACTGTAAAAAAAAAATGTGTAAACATTTTGCATTTAAGATAAGAGACTTTTTGCTCTGTCAATATGCTCTATCCTGAACTCCTCCAGTGGAACAGTTTTAGTTTCACCTGCTTTCATTTAGTAAAAGCTGTTCTTTAAGGAACCTTTGGTTATCCGGTTATCAATCAATTAATCTAAAAAATAATTGACAGATTAATCGATTTGCAAAATAATCATTGGTTGAAGCCTTAAAGCTATATTAACCTAATGAATATGTTTAATGTAAGGCAGGGGTCACCAACCTTTTTAAGGCTGAGGGCTACTTCATGGCTACAGAGTCATAGGAAGGGCTACCAATACTGACCTATGAACTGGAGGGATCAGTGTTCACCTACAGTAAATCTCAGCCATAAAAACTCATTTTTATTCTTATTTTATTCTTTTATTCATTTCTAAAAAAAAATTTAATATTGTCATTTTGAAACCACTGAAATATGATGAAATAATACATAAATGATTAAAAAGAAGAGCAACAGAATAAAAAAAAATAAACTTAACCCACTGAGTGAGTTCTTCTGTTTTCAGAAGACCAAGAGGGCCCCCCATGTGGTCCTTGAGGGCCCCTTGGTGCCCGCCGGCACCGCGTTGGTGACCCCTGATGTAAGGTTTCATTAATATGTTTGTGTTAAAATCATCTAAATAAACACAGTAAATGGGAATTTGTTACATAACTCTTAAAATTTGGGTGAAATAGTTTTGTGAGTGTGAATACGTGTATTTTTCCCATGTCCTCTTACCATACAGAACAAGCAGTTAGTTGAGTCCTCGTGCTGGCATGAAGAAAATCTTTAATTTCAACCCTAACATTAATAAATTTAAATTTTTCAGGCACCTGTTTGGTAGCAGTAACATTGCTCACTTTAACTAATTATGAGGGTAGAAACCCAATCTTCATCAAAAAACCATATCTCGTTGTGTTGCCAGGACAAAACAGGATTTCATTAGGTCAGTTTTTGATCCATGTTGGGAAGGCGGTATAACTAAGAAGGGATCGTTTTTAACATAGAGCTTAAAATATTACTTTGCACAATCTAAAGGGAAGCTGTAGGGTAACATTTTATAACTTCTTAAGTCAGTTAACAGCAGTCTAACAATGATGGGATGGAACCTTGTCTTTGTTCAACCATGTGGACACATCAGATTCAACACAGGATATCTAAATTAAGATAAATTACTTTTATGACAGATTTTTGAAAGCATCACCTCTCTTGCAACAATGCCTTTCCCCACCAGTCAAAGTAGAGCAAATAGTGTGATATAATATGACATTGCCTGCCTCTGTTACACACACTCCCAGTCATAGCCTGTCTGTGGTGCATATTATTAGTGCAGCCTTCACACTGCCTGTGCTTTAATAAGAAGAGCACATGGCACCTGTTCCAGAACCACACGCTATTTTAGGAACTTCTTAATATGGGCACGTTATTTATTTATTATTTTCTTTCTAATCCATGCTCATTGATGTCAGGGTCATTGAAAACAGAGTATTTCATCTATTTATACTCAGATAAAAAGGATACTGTAAGGGACTCGGCTCAAATATTTCAAAGGCAATGCACGTTGAAAAGGAATATTTAAAAATTACTGAAGATTTGAAGAATCTGTTACTAGTTTTTGTAGAACAAAATGGTCAGTTAGTGATTTATATGTTCTCCCCAGCATGGAAATATCTTTTTGTTGTCAACAACTGACGTATCCACTTCTCACTGCATTGACCAGCTTCTCATATTCAACAAACTTGGCCAACACAACATGCACTGGAAAACACATTAGTATGTTAAAGGAGATCCATCCAACAAATGGGTTTCCTCTTTATTTTATGTTAAACATTCACTAAGAGAAAGGGTTTCAGGCAAATCAGGTCTTACCAGGACAAAGGTCCGGAAGGGAAAAGGGAAAGAGTGCCTGAAGGGTTTCGGTCAGGCGGGCACCACTGACACAACAGCTGTGATAAGACCACCTTAAAATAAACCAGGGAAGAGCAGCTCACTCTGAGCAGAGAGAGGGAGGACACAGACACTCATGAAGCAGATCTCAGTCTAAAAGACCTCAGTCATAGACCCATTATTGCACGTCCTGAAATTATATATCTAATTTACAGCTATGCTTATTGTAAGATGTACTGCTGAAATTAGCAAATGTTTTCTCATTGCATTGCTAGAGAGGCAGAGTAAAATAACAATCATTATCTTTGATTGGTTATAAGCTGGTGAGGATTCTCAGTCATCCAGGTAATAGTCGTTCCAAAAAGGTTAAAAAAAAACACACACACACACAATCCACTGGACTCCACTTTCTTAACTTTCTTATCTTTCCAAGATATTTTGCTTCTGATCCAGGAAGCTTTTTCAATTCGAAGTGTGAGAATTAATGTTGAAACTTTATGGAGAAAATAAATATTCAACTTATAGCTTACACTTTTTTATATTTACATACTATAGTATTTTAAGATTCAAATCACCTTGTCCACAAATCAGAAACATTTATATATATATATATATATATATATATATATATATATATATATATATATATATATATATATATATATATATATATATATATATATATATATATATATATATATATAAGGTTCCAAGTTCGATTCTCGGTCTTTCTGCATAGAGTTTGCATGTTCTCCCTGTTCATGCATTGGTTCTCTCCAGGTACTCCTGCTTCCTCCCATAGCCCAAAATTGAATTGGCCTGTGGTTAATTTGCTTCTCTAAATTCTCCCTAGGTGTGAGTGTGTGCATAAATGGTTGTTTGTCCTTTTTGTGTTGCCCTGCAATGAACTGGTGACCTGTTCAGGGTGGACCCTACCTCTCGCCCGTAGATTGCCAGAGTTAGGCACCGGCCCCACAGTTACCCTTAGAGGGAGTGAGCGGGAGAAGATAAATGGATGGATGGATGGATGGATGGAAAAACATTTATGTTAATTGTTTTGTTGTTTTTTTCTTTTTTTTTTATGGGTCCAAACTATATAGGTTTTTGCTTCTGGTTATGATGCCAAAATCAAGAACGAAAGGATTCTGCACCAATAGGAAGTAGGCCAAAGCCAAGTGAGACAGAACTCAGGCTTTGTCAGATGCCATTAGCTCTATGATCAAACTGATGAATGGATTCTTTAAAAGGGTTGCTCAGTGGTGGGGTGGGTAGCACTGCTGCCTTGCAGTAAGAAGGTTCTGGGTTTGATTCCTGGCCTGGCGTCTTTCTGAGTGGAGTTTTCATGTTCTCCCTGAGCATGTGTGGGTTCTCTCCAGGTACTCCGGCTTCCTCCCACAGTCCAAAAACATGACTGTTAGGTTGATTGGCTTCTCTAAATTCTCCTTAGGTGTGAGTGAATGGTTGTTTGTCTCTGTGTTGCCCTGTGATGGACTGGTGACCTGTCCAGGGTGAACCCCGCCTCTCACCCATTGACTGCTGGAGATAGAAACCAGCACCTCTTGCGACTGCACTCGGGACAAGTGTGTCAGATAATGGATGGATGGATTCTTTAAAAAGAAGCAAAACAACGGTAAATATGGAGCGTTGGTGCCGACTTAAAAAGTAGCTTGGAAGCCACAGCAGGAGTTCTTAATGTTTAGTTTAGTTAGCATCAGCGTTATACAGAAGGAGAGCAGGCAAGCTCAAGCATGCCGCTTACTGGCTGGGAGGATTTAAACTTTTAGCTAAGCGATCATCTTTAACATTAAGGATTTCAAATCAGCAAACTATATATTTATGACTTAGAAAGTCAAAAGTCACAGTTTTATTCCAAATTTCCTTTTTCTAAAATACTTTTAAGAATATATCACACCAATAATGTTGTTTCGTCTCTTGATAATACAATGTTAAAACTGCCATTATATATCATAATCATAACTTGATATCTGATTATTTATTATTTTTAAAACCCATAACTTTGACCATGTGCTGTTTTTCTCCCAGTTGGCAAAAATGCTTCAATAAAGTCCAGAACAGAGGCGGTAATGCAGCTCTGCTCAAACCCATATCCTGAATCTAAACCCACAAGGTTAAGACTATTTTTGGAAGCATTCATTTCTGCACATATTGACTGCAGTAGCACATTTTCAGCAGTAGATGTCAGTGTTTAGAGTTTATCGTGTATTATGCATTAGATTTTTTGTTACCACTTCAATCTTTCTATTATCAAATTTGAGTAATTCCTAGTGAAAACACCTCCTAATTGGCTTTTATTTAACTCCAACCTGAGGTAGACTGGTAGCTACAGTTGTAGTTCATAGTAGTGAAAATAAATAAGCCATTACACAGAGCATTGAATAAATGGAGGTCCTTTTAAAACATTTTTGAATTTAATTTGAAAAAGTAGAGCACCAAACAATCAATTCCTCATAGCACAAAAGAGGCACTCCGTCCAGACTAACCAGTTTTTGATGCGTAGAGCTAAACAACAGATTGGCTACTGAGGTTTCCCCCTCAAAGGAAATGACCCCCCACTAAAAAAAAAAAAAAAAGATCTCAGCTTAGAAGTTAAATCATCAATCATATGACTTCTATATGTTTTACTGGGAATTGCCGTTGACATGAGAGGCACAATGCAGTTCAGTGAATATGAATACACAACAGAATCTGAATACATACTGTATGCCAAAGCAAAGTCCTTCACATTTTAAAGCATTTCCAGGCACCGCCACGACAAATAAAAATCATCTCATGAAGGAAAACAAATTTAAAGCAGTGCACCTTTAAATTTTTTTTATGTAAACATGACTGAAAAAGTTTGCTTTTAATCTGAAATGTTTTAAACCCAGTCTCAAACCGACAGCCGCCTCGAGATGTTAATGCTTTTTTAAAAAGATTAAACGCTGTGCTATTTTTCATCTTTCTCCCTTGTGAAACCTCTGTGGATGTTTTACCTCTGAACGAGGTAGAGATCCACATAAAAAGTTTTTAGAATACAACACTGCAAAAATAGTTTAAACCATAAAAATACACATATATACAAAGAAGTAGTAATGCTTTAGAGTGAGTGGCTACTTGCAAAGTTGATGTGAAGAGCTAATAATTGTTGTTAACACTGTTTCTTTAATATTACCTGCAGTAGATGGTGTGGATTTATTCAGAGTTTGACATGAAAATGCAAAACAGTTCAACATCGACTGATCATCATAGCCCCTCGGGTGTTGTGTGCAAATCCACTTCGCACGATGAGATGCGGAAAAAAACGAGGAATGTTTCAACAACCACAAGGAAAAGGGACATTTTTCCTCTCTCTCCCCTACCCCACCGGACTCAACATCAGCCTCATCGTCGAACAGAAAAGGAGGAAAGTGCATCTTTAAAACACGTGAAAACACCCATGAACATCTGCATAAGCAAGAAAACAAGCCTAACCAAAGCAACATTATGAGATCAAAAGCAACGCCGGAGTGGCTCACTGCATAACTGCTGCATAAATACAGATATACCATATAAATAGTAGTCAAATGTTTACCAGTATCAATAAGTGCTTACGTTCTAATATATAAATACATCTTACATTATTCATAATTACATAATTAATTCCTCTATGGTTGTGCAATAGCAAATCCCATGCATTTTTTTTTACCAAGATAAAAACCACAACATTAAGAAAAATGCAACATAAGTAACATTTGTTTAAGATTGCTTCACATAAATCCATCTTTAAAAAAAGAAAAACCCACAAGGCCTTCCCAGAAAGTGCAGCCTCCTTTTAGTAAGAGTCCTTATAGATGTTACCCTTACTCAGTTAGAAAGAAAAGCAAAACAAAACAAAAAAAAGGCACATACCCTTGCTGCTTGATCAGAAGCACCAAACTGCACAAGAAGCGTCTACTTAAAATTTGGTCGGACTGTTTCATAGTACACACACGTTTCCCCTTATAAAAGTCTTTAGTTACAGCACTACTGCATCACACCTTGATATGGTTAACAGAAACAACAGTCTATTTTCAAAGTACACACTGCAAAATACACTGCTTGTATGCATCTAAGTTATAATATATGTTAAGGACATTTGTACAGGACCCATAAATGCAATTGTTGTGCAATTGTGCGCAAACTATGATCTCAGACAAAAAGGCATATCAGCTTTATAATATTTTTTCATATTGCAACTGCACCCAATAATGATTTTTCACCCTTTTGCAAAACAACCCGTACAGAATCTCTGTGGAGTTTGACCATGCAAGACCAGTGGAAACGTCATTATATTGCCTCTAATAGGATAAAGACAAGGTGGTTAAAGGGTTAACGATGGTTGCAGGTGTGGTGAGGGCTGGCAACAACAAAGCAGTTTCAATGAGGATCTTCTATGGTAATTTTCAATGAGGCAATGGCTTTCAAACAGGTCTGGACGTTCTCCTCTTGTCTGCTTTCCCCGGCGGGCGGCTCAGGACTCTTCTCATCTGTCTCTATTCCCGTCTCAAGCCCGTGCACAGATCCCTCCCTGCTGCTGCAGCGCTGCCCTTCGCTGCTCTGGGGACTTGGAGCGTCATTGCTGGGTGAAGTTGGGGAGTCCAACATCTGGAGGCCCCCGACAGGAACGACGGGGAGCAGAGAGCGGGCCTGCTGCTGGGAGTGAAGCGGGAGATGGCTGAGGATGTTCTGGTGATGAGAACTGGCAGCTCCTGGGTGAACAGGAGCCAAGCTGCTCCTTTGATCCTGGAAGAACATTCGTGGCAGGGTTAGCAACATTTCCATCACCAGTATATGAACATGTCTCAGTAGATAGCCATAAAAGAATATTGTTCACAAAGAAGTGCTTTTGCAAATGAACCTCTAATAGTGGATTATCTGGGCTTCTTTTTGACCAGGACTGAAATGTTGCCACAACATAATGAGAGGCCAAAGTAGTGAAGTTAGTTTATTTATACAGTTTATCCAATTTTGTTCAAACACATTAGGAGGAATTTAGAAAAGGTTACACAATAGCCTACAAAGGCATTCCCACTGCCTTTATGTAGTGTATATTTTCTCACATTGCAGCCACAAGCATCCATTAAGATAGACCAATAAAAATCTGTTCTGCTTTGATTTGATTCCAAAGTAGAGCAAAACTTTAAGTGTTTTTTTTCTTTCTTTTTTTGTGGTTGACTTCCAAACTTTAATCATTTAAACCGAAATATATAGTTTTCCTCACCAAGATATTGCTGCTACATATTTCTGGTTGAATACAGACAGTTTTCATTCAAATTGGATAACAATGGCTCCAAAATAGGTACATTCTGATTTAGTAGGTGTTTCATGAATTCCTCACGCTGCTAGGAAATTAAACTGGGAGGATGATAACACCGAATGGCCTAATGCTATGGCCAGTAAAACATATTTGTACTTTCAAACACAAGAACAACTTAAAAAGCTTTGAATCTTATCACTACTTGCATAGCGATAAAGTTGTCTGTGTTTTGATACACAAACACACCAATTGGGAGTACATGAAGGCAGATGATCAACCAGGTTAGTATCTGAAGGATTCCTGCAATAATGCTGCAGTGGTGGCTACCGAGGACGGAGAGGTGAAGCCTCCAGGCTGCCCCTGTACAGCCGGACCTGACCACTCATGTAGCAACACAGCTGCTGTTCTATTGCCACAGAGTCTGGCATTCACGCCAGAGGAGCGCAGGTCTACTCGGCCCAAAGGTACATTGTTGCATGACTTGTAGACGCCAACCAACAATGCTAATTAAACTCATCAGTAGTGTGGCTTACCTTTAAACTAATTGGCCAAGGAGTTGGATCTGGTTCCTTTTCTTCATTCTGTAATAACCTGCAGCTGCAGGACAGAATGGCACCTGTTTGACGCGAGCCATACTGTTTTCACTGACATTGAGTTTTGAGTGGGGTAGAGGGCAGCTCAGGCAGGTAGAGAAGACATTACTTTATCTAACCCAATACAGAGTTGTTGGCTTTAGCCATAACTTAGACCGCAAGCCATAACCCATGACACTGACTGCTCTAGGCGAGACGCTCCTGAAAGTTTGAAGCAGAAAACTACAAAAATGGAAGGGCCCCATAATTCTGTGTGGAAAATTTGTAAACAAAGCCAAGCATGTGGCAGTCGTTGTTCCCACTGGACATAAACGACTTGGTCGCACTGAGCACTGACACAGAAATCTAGAAAAAGTATTATGTTCCATGTGCTGCATTTCTCTTCTGCATATTTGAGCTGTTATCACAGCTGCAAAAACATTGTTTGTCAAAAGCAGGTCTTTCTAAGCAGGTTTCCTCACATTCTACTTCTAATTTTGGAACGGTGTCGACGATGTGTGCTGTAAGCCGAAGGAGAGGATGTGCTCTGTGTGCAACATGACTTCAGTATGACATTTTCTATCCCTAGAGGCTCTGCTACAGTGGCTTGTTAAGGCCAAAAAGGCATACATTCCAAATTGCAAGGAGGGAAGGAGGCCGGTTTCTACTCACTGGAGAAGTGAACTACAACTGAGTCCTACTGAGGGAGCCTCAAAACTGCTCTCATTCTACTTGTCTGGTCCAAACCAGTGTTCGCTTAAATGGTGCCTATCTCCGGCAGTTATTTGGTGACAGACCATCCTGGCCACTCTGACTACTTTATGCCATCTACATGGAATATTAGTCTGGAAAGAAGCGGCTAGAGTCCAGTTTTAAAGGCTGGGCTAACAGAGTCAGCAGAAAGACGGTTCTGGACTCGATAACCAGCCTGGGCTCTTTCTGCATGGAGTCGGAATGTTCTCCCTTTGCATGCGTTGGTTGTCTCTGGGTACTACGGCTTCCTCCCACAGTCCAAAAATAGACTCTTAGGTTAATTGGCTTCTCTAAATTCTCCTTGGGTGTCAGTGTGTGCTTAAATGGTTGTTTGTCCCGTTTGTCTCTGTGTTGTCTAAACTGGCGACCTGTCCAGGGTGTACCCCGCCTCTGGCCCATAGACAGCTGGAGTGAGGCACCAGCACCCCTCTTGACCCCAGCAGGGATAGGCATGACGGAAAATGGATGGACATATACATAAATAGCTCTATCAGGTCCTAATAAAGAGCATCATTGAACACTGCGCCATTGCTGACCATCTGAACCATTATTCAACCCTAGGTATAGTTTTGCGCGGGACTATAGTACAGAAGCATAAAGAACAATCGAATTACCATTTCAAAAGCCTGCTGTTGTGCCTTCTCAATCTTTGCTTGGTGTCTGGCTTTATCACAGCCGCCTTTATGCTGGTGCGAACCTCGGCGCGGTGACACCGCCCGCAGCACAACCCTCTGCCTGCCCCTCGCTGAAGATTCACGCTTCCCAGCAACCTCTGACCCAGGAGACATTGGTCGTTCCAAAGAGACTGGGGATGGATGTTGGATGGATTTGAAGATGGGTGACCCAGGCCTCATAGGTGAGGAGTCCCACCTTGGTGAGGAACGCCCTCGTGGGGACAGCTCCCGCCTCGGGGATGGATACCGTAGTCGTGAAGGAGAGGGTTCCCTAATGGGGGACTCCCAACCAGGAGACAGCAAATATGAAGAGTAAGGGTCAAAAAGGAGACTGGTGTGGTCTAGTGGCAGCATGCTCAGAGAGTCTTCATCCACAGACTTTTCTCTCTGTTCTGCTGTGATGGAGAAACGATTTTCCAGGCCTGAGCGCTTGCTGAAGGATTGCTGATGAACATCTGCTCCAGGTAGAGCAGTTAGAGAGCAACCGTGGACAGCAGAGCTGGCAGTAACGTACACCGAGGTTACTCCACATGGCTGAGGACTCGTACTTCTTGATTGAAGCTTTGGGGTGGAGTCCCCCTCATACTCATCATCTTCTTCATCTTCCTCATCTATTTCATCGGCCTCCTCATCCATCCCTTCAGAGTCTTCAGCATCTGAGAACTGATGTTTGCTGGTTGTTGCCATGTCTGTCTTGGATTCTTGCTGGATGTTGTCTGCTTTAAACGACATATTTGTTAATTTAACTGAATTTATTGCACAATAACACAAATTAAATCAGTGGGAGTACAGCAACTTAGGATCTTACCATGTTCCTGTATCTCTGTGTCATCCATTGACACTGAAACTCCAAGTTCAAGACATTTCTTCATGTGTGCCTTTGACTTCATATGTTTAGTCAGGTTTCCTGTTGAGGAGAGACACACGTTTGTCTTGTGGTTTCCAGAGACAAATGCCAACTGAAGGTGGTGAAACAATGAGAATGCAAAACAAATGCAAGCAAAGCATTTTGTAGCAGGTTTTTAATCACATCTTCAAAAAAGACACAGTAGTGCTTATATTTAATGTGTATAAGAAAGAAAACATGCTCTTCAACTTCAGCTTCCTAGGTCATTACTTTGTTAACTCTTTCTTTAGGGGCTTTAGTTTTCTACCTTTGCACATGTCCACTGTTCCTCTTCTCAGATAGGCTGGGTGTCTGAGTGTTGCCACATTGTGAGAGATCAAAACCTGGATCTATGTCAGTTAGATTTACTGTAAGTCTGAACTGAGCGATTCTAGCATAAATATGCTCCTATCTCAAGCTCTCCACCCTAGCTCTTGCTCTATCCTTAGAACTGTTGTCCCTGTTTGGACCTGTTCACTTCCTGTTTAGATTAACTGAGTGTGCAGCTGTTGCAGCTGTCCAGAGGAACTCCATCTGAAGTTAAGTTATTTTCTCTGTGATATCTCTGTATCTAAGTAACTCTAACTGACTACTTTAAAACATAGCACCTTCTGCTGTACTTTTCTACTGAGCACTTGTCAGTTTCACACGGTTTTATTTCTGATAGCAAGGAGTAGCTAGCCTAGGCTAGCGCTAGCTTAGCATTGCTATGGCTTCTCTCTCTCCCTCCTTGACTCTTTTCCAACTCTTCCTTCTTCCTCTCCTCTCTCCTGCTCTCTGTGTCAGATGTTCAGTTATTCCTCTGCCTCCTTTAGTGATAATGGGATGTGTAATAAGTGCAGTATTTTTGTAGCTTTGGAGGCGAGGGTGTCAGAATTAGAATCCAGGCTTCAGGCTGTTGAACATCCAGGAGTTAAAGTAGGCCCCCCACGTAGCTGTCCTCCAAAAGTGCCTGAGCAGCCAGGCGATTGGGTAACTGTACGCAGAAAGCGTAGTCGTGGATCTCTGCCCACTGGTCACCACCAAACCATTCACGTTTCTAACCGGTTTTCCCCACTCAGTGACACACCCACTGAGAAGCCCACTCTGGTGATTGGCAGCTCCATAGTCAGAAACGTGGCATTAGAGACACCAGGGACCATAGTCAAATGTTTGCCGGGGGCCAGAACGGGCGACATCAAATCCTACCTGAAACTACTGGCTAAGGATAAGGTTAAATACAGTAAGATTGTTATTCACGCTGGTGGTAATGACACCCGGTTACGCCGATCGGAGGTCACTAAAATTAGTGTTGCTTCGGTGTGTAAGTTTGCCAAAAAAAATGTCGGACTCCGTAATTTTCTCTGGTCCCCTCCCTGATCTGACTAGTGATGACATGTTTAGCCGCATGTCGTCATTCAACCGCTGGTTGTCTAGGTGGTGTCCTGAAAACGTGGGCTACAATAATAATTGACAATCCTTTTGGGGAAAGCCTGGTCTGATTCGGAGAGACGGCATCCATCCCACTTTGGATGGGGCAGCTCTTCTTTCTAGGAATCTGGCCACATTTATTAGTCCTCCAAAACCCTGACCACCCAGGGGGCAGACCAGGAAGCAGCGTTGTAGTTTAACACACTTCTCTGCAGCTTCTCTACTGTTACCCACTCTTTACTCCATCCAGACAGTGTCTTGTCCACGACCAAAATCTAATAAATTAGCAAAGATTCCCAAAGGAGTATATCATGATAATCTAATTAAAATCAAAATAACTCCAATTGGGGAAAAAGTTAAAACAATTAAATGCGGTCTGTTTAACATAAGATCGCTTTCCCCTAAAAGTCTACTAGTTAATGACTTGATTTGTGATAATCACATTGACTTGTTTTGCCTTACAGAAACCTGGCTGCAGCAAGAGGATTATGTGAGCATAAATTAGGCAACTCCTTCAAGCTATTTAAATTTTCACATACCCAGAAGTTCTGGGCGAGGAGGAGGAGTAGCAACAATCTTCCAGTCTGACTTAATGATTACTCCCAAAACAGTTAATACCTACAACTCTTTTGAACATTTAACCCTTAATTTCCCTGATCCAAATTTCAAGGCAAGAAAACCTCTTCTTTTTGTAACTTTGTATCGTCCACCAGGTCCTTACTCTGAATTTTTAGATGAGTTTTCAGAGTTCCTTTCGGATTTGGTATTAAATACTGACAGGGTCATCATAGTGGGAGATTTTAACATCCATGCTGACATTGAAGGCGATAGCTTAAGAGCAGCCTTTAATGCTGTCTTAGACACTATTGGCTTTGTTCAAAATGTGAATAGTCCCACACATTCTCATCTTCATACTTTGGATCTTGTGCTGACATACGGCATAGAATGTGAAGAAACAACAGTATTTCCTCACAACCCTGTCCTCTCTGACCACTTTCTAATAACCTTCAGGATTACTTTAACAGAGTTCTCCTCCCCCAAAAGAAGGTTCAATTTTAGTAGATCTTTATCAGAAAGTGCAGTTATAAATTTTAAAGAATCTGCTTCACTTTCTCTCTCCTCTGTGTCGCTGAGCAGTGCTGCAGAGTGCAAAAGCATAGCTTATTCCCCTTCACAGGTTGATGATTTTGTTGATGGGGTTGCTAGTTCTCTGCGTATTGCCTTAGACAACGCAGCTCCTTTGAAAATGAAAACCGTTAAAAATAGAAAGCTTGCTCCTTGGTTTAATGCAGAGCTGCGTACTTTGAAGCAAAATGTTAGGAAACTGGAGAGAAAATATCGCTCCACAGGCCTGCGGGAGTCCTTCCTAGTCTGGAAAAATGGTTTAATGCTGTATAAGAGGACCCTTTGTAAAGCAAGAGCAGCATACTTCTCCTCATTAATAGAGGAGAATAAGAATAATCCTAGATTTCTTTTTAATACAGTTGCCAAACTCACCCAGAGCCATAGCTCTGTTGAACCGTCCATTCCACCTGCTCTTAGCAGCAATGATTTTATGGGATTCTTTATAAATAAGATTGATCTTATTAAAAATAAAATCATAAGCACTCCTCTATCCGCGATTGTACCTGAGGTAGTCATGGAATCTGAACCGGGTTTAGACTGCTTTGATCCAGTTGAACTTTCTGAATTAGCAAAATTATTGTCTTCATCTAAGCCTTCAACTTGTATGTTAGATCCAGTTCCAACCAGGTTATTTAAGGAGGTATTCCCTTTGATCTCCTCCTCCATTCTAGATGTGATTAATCTATCTCTGTTACAGGGATATGTACCTAAAGCTTTTAAGGTTGCTGTAATTAAACCTCTGCTTAAGAAACCGTCTCTTGACCCAGATGACTTGGTCAATTATAGACCTATATCCAATCTTCCTTTCTTATCCAAAATTCTTGAGAAAGTAGTTGCCAAACAAGTTTGCGATCACTTACACCATAATGAACTTTTTGAAGAGTTTCAGTCTGGCTTTAGAGCTCATCATAGCACTGAAACAGCTCTGGTGAAAGTCACTAATGATATTCTCATGGCCTCAGATAATGGACTTGTATCTGTGCTCGTCCTGTTGGATCTTAGTGCTGCATTTGATACAGTTGACCATAATATTCTTTTAGAAAGACTTGAATATTTTGTTGGAATTAAAGGAACAGCACTAGACTGGTTTAAATCTTATCTATCTGATCGAATTCAGTTTGTTCATGTTAATGATAGATCTTCAACACGCTCAAAGGTTACCTGTGGAGTACCACAGGGATCAGTGCTAGGACCAATTCTCTTTACTTTATACATGCTCCCAATTGGTAGAGTTATTAGACAGCATGGGATTAATTTCCACTGTTATGCTGATGATACCCAGCTATATCTGGCTATAAATCCAGATGAAGCTAACCCATTACATAGATTACAGGCATGTCTTGAAGACATAAAAACCTGGATGACTCTTAACTTTCTGCTCCTGAATGCAGACAAAACAGAAGTTATAGTCTTTGGACCAGAGTCTTTGAAAAAGAAACTGATTAGCCAGTCACTTCATTTGGATGGGATTAAACTGATTTCAGATAATAAAGTAAAAAATCTTGGTGTTATTTTTGATCAGGACCTGTCATTTAAATCCCATATCAAAGAGGTTTCTAGAATTTCCTTCTTTCATCTGAGGAATATTGCAAAAATTAGAAATATCCTCTCCAGGGGTGATGCTGAGAAACTAGTCCATGCATTTGTTACTTCAAGGCTGGACTATTGTAATTCTTTACTATCAGGAAGTCCACAAACTGTAGTTAAAAGCCTTCAGCTGATCCAAAATGCTGCAGCCAGAGTTCTAATGAAAATTAAAAAGAGAGATCATATCTCGCCTATCCTGGCTTCTCTTCATTGGCTTCCTGTTAAATCAAGAATAGAATTTAAAATCCTCCTTCTCACATATAAAGCCTTAAATGGCCAAGCTCCATCTTATATCAGAGATCTGATTGTTCCTTATGTTCCTAACAGAGCACTTCGCTCTCAATCTGCAGGTTTACTAGTGGTTCCTAGAATTTCTAAAAGTAGAATGGGAGGCAGATCTTTTAGTTATCAGGCTCCTCTCCTGTGGAACCAACTACCAGTTTTAGTCCGTGAGGCAGACACCCTGTCTACTTTTAAGGCTAGACTTAAAACTTTCCTTTTTGATAACGCTTATAGTTAGAGTGGCTCAGGTTATCCTGAGCTATCTCTATAGTTATGCTGCTATAGGCTTAGACTTTTGGAGGACATAGGGACCCCCATTTCATCATTCTGCTTCATTCTCTCTCTGTTCTCCTAACTGCAGAATCTGTTAGTTCAATCTCTAACCTTCTGTTCTCTCTGCTTTTCCTCAGAGTAGCTTTGCCTCGTCTGTTCCTGTTTGGCTGTGACGTCATCCTGGAAAGAAACATCAGCTGTGCTGCTTCCATCAACACCCTTGTTTGTAGATGTTGGAGATCGGCCTGTTTTCCAGAGTGGTCCTGTTTCTCTGACCGTGACTGGCTGGATGTGCTCTCTTCGTCCTCTGGCATGGGAGCTGCCTTGGAGCTTGTCTGCCTGGCTGTGTGTTTCCTGGACGGGGCCGCCTTTTACAGCTGCTTTTTGTATCTCTGCTTCTGTCTCCTTGAACCCCAGTGGGCCTCGGCAGATGGCCGCTCACACTGAGCCTGGTTCTGCTGGAGGTTTCTTCCTGTTTAAAGGGAGTTTTTCCTCTCCACTGTCGCTACAAGCATGCTTAGTGTGAGGGATTGTATTTGAGTCGATGCAATCAGCTGGTTTTCCTTAGATAGAAAACTTTGTATCAATTTGACTGTATGATCTGGTTGAACTGTAAAGTGCCTTGAGATGACATGTGTTGTGAATTTGGCGCTATAGAAATAAACTGAATTGAATTGAATTGTCCTGATGGACATCTCAATGTTTGCATTCCCGCAGCATAACCGTGCTATCAATACATTTTATGGTACGGTGCTGATGTGTTAAAAGAGATTTACTGATCTACAGATGCAAGTTTTCTACAAGACATAGTCTTTTTCATAACGACCATAAGTTCAGATTCAGTCTCACTTGTCAGTTTTTCAAATATTCTTTTTGTAAATTTGATATTGACTTGTTCTACCTGGTCTTGTATGTGGTTTCTCTGATTTGAACTTTAAAATATTTATTTTCATCTACCGCTGCAGTTTCTAGGACTAACCCACCTTTGGTTTTGAAGGCAAAGTTGCAAACCCTGCAGATGTACGGTCGCACATCTGTATGGGTCCGGATGTGCTTCTTCAGCATGCTTGGCTTCTTACAGCGAATGCCACATTCCTCACAAATGTATTTCCCCCGGCCTCGACCTCTTACATACACATAGTCTTCATTGGACTTGTACCTTAAAGAGGCAGGAAATAAACATTGACCTGCTCAGTTTTAAACAGAAAATAGATAGGTTGCTTGTGCATGAAGTTGCTAGTGCTAAAAATAACTGCAGTACAAATGACATTGACAAGCATTACGGGAACCTACCCTCCCTCAAAGATCTTAATTCGTGTTGGCACAGGCTGGTTTGCAGATGCCTCCCTCTCTTTCCACTCCTCCTTGGCTGTTTTGGCTCTGCAGCTGATGTCTTTCACCTTCTTCCCGTAGGTAATGTCCACCTCTTTGGGCTCCGGTTTCCTCTGCAGCTGAATTAGATAAACACACACCATGTTAGCACCCATTCGACGTTGGCAAAGAATTGATAGGCCTGATGCATTACATATTAAGTGTCACACATGGTGTTACACCCATGTTTTGCAAACATGCATTATGCTGCAGCCTGGGAAAAGCCCACTGCAGGTATCTTAGAGTGTTTTTGTCCTTTAATTAATTTGATTCAGGTGGCCTGCACAGAGACAAAGTCCCCTGCTTTAAGAGATAGAGTTCTAAAGAGAGGTTCTTCAACACAGATATCAGGCGGTCAGTTTCTTTTCTGCAGTAGATTACTCTTCTGCTGTGTTCATTTAGTAGAAAAGTCTGTCACAGAGCAGCCTCACATCTGAATTCAAATTGTCCACATGCAAAAGAGGCTCCCTGTTTTCCTCTTAAACAAAATATGTTGAATGCCATTAGAACATTATCAAGAACACGGACCACGTCTCTTGTCTCTTGTTCTGTTGCGGAATCAAACTGTATGCTGTGTTCTTTTGCGAGGTTTTCCTGTCCCTGGCATGCAAAGCAGTTCGTGGTAGAGATGTACTTTTCCACCAAAGAGGTGGCTGCAATGTCAAAATAAGTTCAGCAATTCTCTTATGCCATTGGACTTTTCCTAACGTTCTCATGTACAGGCATAAGGAAGTCCCTATGAACTGAGATATTTTAGACAGCCATGCGTGGAAGTTAGTATGGGCAGCTAGTGAAGCTTGCCCATACTACTTGTGCTTCATTATAGGCTTGAAAGCATAAGTTCAGAGGTTGTCCACCTGGAGGCAAGACCTATATCGTCTTCCAGGAACCCTTCCTGTAGGTCAAGCACATCATAGTAGTTTATCCACATAAAGTTTTATGATCCTTCAACCCACCCTTATGTTTACATTTGTCAATTTATACTAAGCCAAAGGGCAGAAATGCAAAATTGAGAAATGCAGGCTGGAGGCTGTAACACCCTTATGAAGAACACTTAGAATGGAACGTGTATGGTTCTATGATAAAAGAAAAAATGTATTATTACTTTTGTAAGTGAAAAGTTTTACACCATCAGATAATCATTGGCGCACAGCCTCCGGTTATTTCAGAGCAAATAATCAACAAATGATAATCCTATTTCAGAAACATTTTGGTAGTCTCTGTAAACCTGTGAATCTTTTCACAAATTGTGTTTGGCAGTTGTTTACACAAATGCCAATTTATGGTGTGAAGAACAATAAGAGGCATTGAATTCACAAACATCATCCTATCGGGAAAAAAATACTCAAATCTGAACATGTAAAGGAATATTATTATTACTTATTAATTATTAATATAAAAAGAATGTGGAGTAAAAGTCATTCATATTTTAAATTAAACTACCATAAGACTGTTGAATCAGAAAGAAAATTGTGTTAATCACCAACATTTATGATTCAAACGGAAGGTGTTTATTAAATACTTACATTTTCTCAGTTACTTTACTGGAGTAAATACAAAAAAAAAAAAACTTTTAGTACTAGTATACTTTCACTGAGTAAAAATATGATGAAGTATTACTATTCTTACTTGAGTAAAATATCTGGCTACACCACCCATTGTGAGTAACTTCACATAATAAAAATAATATGGTTCTAAACCAATATGCACCATCGAGTGACACACTGACTCTAATGCACTCAAGGCTTATTGGTTAAATGTTTTTTTTCCCATATGATGAGTCAGCTGTGTCATTTAGAGATTAAATGAAAATACAAACAACAGTATGCTTTAATTTAATCTATCCTTAAATACTAAAACTATAGATCTTGTAAGTTTTAATATTACATCAGTTGTTATGATCCTGGTTAGTAAGTAGATCAGTTACTCAGTGCTTGAGTAGCCTTTTTACCAAATATTTTTTTACCTTTTACTTGTGAAATTTCTTTAGAATATACTTTTACTTGAGTAATAATGATGAAGTGGTGCTACTCTTACTTTAGCATCCATCTCTGTTTAAAATGCTACTCTAATCTCAGGGTCTATTAGGGAGGCTTTAGCTTCTGCCTCTTGGTGAACTCTCTGTTAGCGAAGTCACTATAGAAGCTGTCTACTTCATGTCAGCTGTTGACTGTGTTTAACCTTATAACTGAACTTCCCTTGAAATTAATTTTTTTAAGACATCAATGCACAAAGAAGACAACACAGCCACCCTGTTATAAGGCTTTCGCTGATACAGGTTGGTTTATGCCAAAACCAAATAAGCAAGAGGATTATCAAAATAAAACTCTGCAGAACCTTTTCTAAAATGACTGATGTGAGCAGCTTTCCAGTTTGAAAGTAAAAGTGCCCTTTAAACCAAATGCATTTGGAACCGCTATCTCTCGCTGAGATGAAAGGCTTTCAGCACAGTTTGAGGTACTAATTTAATCATTTTTTTACAAACAGATGAAATCAGCAAAACCAATTACATATTCTATAAAAAGCACTTCTCCCCTCAGGTAACCCATGATTTAGTTTAGCATTTTTTTTCATCTCAGCCTTCCAACAGATGGGATCATTTACTCACCTGTTCCATGGTCTGTCTCCAGAGGATGAGCGATGAAACTAGTTTCCCTGTGCCAGGCTGGCACATTGCTGCTATGGAGTATATAACCTTGTCTCCCCTCTGTCTGGACCGTAGCAGAGCCAGAGCAATGCTGGTGCTCACTTCCAGGGGGTTGGGATTATGGGAGCTTGCACACCATGTTGCGTAGGCAGAGGTGAAAGGGGAGTCGCCCTGCAAGCAACTAGGCTTTGTGTAGTTGAGGTAACACCAACTCACTCCTGTTGTTGTGCGAAGGCTTGGAAACTGAGATAAGACTCTTGAATTCTCTGCCCCTGACATCAGGGTGTCTTGACTGGTACTAAGCTGTGCTACAGCATCCATCTGCACCCGTTCCTTTGCTGTGCTGCTTGATATGACTAAGTAATGGGGAGAACCCGTTTCCAGGGTGCTACTTTCCATGGCGCTTTCAGATTCAGTGGTCTCAGACATTTTTTGGTGGGCGACGAATGAAGTCCTGCAGGCATCACCTGTGACATGTGTGGGTGGAACCTGGATCTCTGACCTGTGCCCTTTGTCTTCATTCAAATGACATTTTCCCAACTCTACAGCACTCAGTTCCTCCACAATTTGGCCAAACATTCTCTCTTCCTTTACTCGTTTTTGCTGCTTCACCTCGATGAATAGATCCAAGCTGCTGGCAGGGGATAGCATCCTCTTGTTTGTTCCTCCACTCGAGGCATTAGTAGTCGATATAGTCCTGGATGTCAGAGACAGAGGGATGCCTGTCTTTAGTTTAGCTGATGACAAATCCAGGGCCTCAACACTCAGGTTGGTAGCTGTAGGCTGCTTTGAGCGCACATTATGAGGTTCAAGATTTACAGACAAGCCTGAGTTTCGACTCAGGCGGGGGGACGTTGTGGAGCTAATACTGTCATACTGATTGTCAAAGATCTGAGATAAAGAGGTGTACGTGATACTGCCAAAAGATGGCACATGTGTCTGAATTCTAACAGGAACTACTAGGCTGGGATTAGGCAGCTGGGGAAATGTGTTCCCAACAGAAAATATTGGTAATATCTGTGGCAGAACAGTGGCTGCTGCAAAAGGAGGGGAATTGCTGCTGAGGTACTGTGGAAACACCTGTGAGGGTACGTGTGCAACTTCAGCGTCCATATTCAGTGACTCTTGCCGCACCAAGTTTCCCCTCCTTCTCTCCTTTAGAGTACTAATGTCCACGTGTCTAACTTTGGAGGTTGGAGAAAGGCTGCCATAGTCAAATGATATGCTGCGGACCTCTGGGAACTCCTTGTGCTGGTTGCACGGTGCCTGCTCTGAGGAGGAGCGTCTCATTTCATGCTGCTGACGCTGGCTAAGGACAGACAGGGAGTGCCCACACCCTGGTACAGCTAAGAGCTCAAGAGGTTTGCCAAAATCATCTTGCCTGGCTGGAGAGGTTGATTTCAAGCTATCCTCTCTGTCAAAGGAAAAAGTAGAGCTATAGGATAAGTTGCTGTCCTGGCTTGGGCTTCGAGACAAACTAGTGCAAGCAGACTCAAAACTTGATTCGCCAGAAGAGTGCTCAATTTCAGCCAAGCGAAGCCTTTTTTTCTTTGGAGGGAGTTTTTCAGGAGGGAATTGTGCTAAGGTTTCACTCCTTTGAGGCCACTGAAACTCCTCCACTGGCTTTTCCGGCTCCTTCACTGGCACTTCTGGGGCTTTTTCTGGACTGTCAGGTTCAACTGTGACCCTGATTTCTGGGACTTGTATATTTGGCTGTCGCACTAGTTTGGGGCCTAGTTGAACTGATTGGCCAAACCTTATGTCATGCTCCATTTCAAATGATTCACTGGTTTCCATTTTTTGTAATGAAGGCAGAGTTTCAAGTCGTTGACTATAATATATGATGGATTCTGACAGATCAGTATGGGGCCTGTTTATTGAGTTTGTGTGCTGGATAACTGAAATTACATTTCCTAGGGTTTTTCGGCCTGATATTTCAGGGTAAACGGATATGTCCATGTCACACCTGTCCAAATGTCCCCTCCCTAAAGCCATTATTCCCATTGCTGCCTGTTTTATATCATAGTCTCTTCCTAAATGAAGCATTTCCTCATACTGCTTATTGTGGCCTTCATATTGTCCTAGCAAGTCCTCCTCCTCTCTCTTCTCTTTGCGACGCTTCCGTGTTGCCAGTTCAATTGCATGTTTGTGTTGAGTTGAACCGAGTGCCAAAGAGGTGTAGCTTTCCATGTCTAATCCAGAGGGACAAACCTCTGTAATTTTTCCATGGCTTTCAGCTTCAGAGTGACCATCGTGGACAGATATCTCAATAGCACCTTGACGTTTTAGTCTTCTCATGCCTCCTGTGCCTGCTCTTTCATCAAAAGAGTGACTGCCTCTCAGGGCTTGGGGCATTGTTAGGCATACAGCCGATGATACTGGCATTGAATTGCTTCGGATCAGAGGCCCCATATCACATCCAGCATCTACCTGCAACTCTTTCAACTCCTCTTTAAGAAATGTCTTGGTGTTTATTTTGATTGATTCAACTGCATCTTTTTCTTGAGTGAAAACGCGGGACACACCCTTCTCAGAGCATTTCTCGGAAAGTTCTCCAGATTCATAAGATGATGTCTGCTTAGGGCTTGGTCGATAACACTTCCCAAACATGATTTCTTGATAGGATTTTGCATTAGCATTTGGAGGACCAGTCTGATGCTCCGAACTCTCGGAGCGTGAGAAGTAGCCAGAGTCTGTGCTACCCTTGCTTGACTGACTTGGAAGGGACAGATTTTGCTCTGAGTCTCCACTTCTCTTCTCTGACAGCCGGAGAGCAAGCCTCTGTTTGATCGTCGAAGATTGGATTGCACGACTGGCCTCGGAAGTGACAGGAGATGCATTGATTTCTTGGCGTTGGGATGAACCATCCTGACCTGACATTGACGTGGCTCCCTTTTTCTGAGCAATGAGATTTAGCACTTTTACAGCAGTGTTATCTGATCCCTCAATTGGAGAGTCCAGTAGCAGCAATGGGTCATTAAGAGTGTCCTCGTCCGTGTCCGTGCTTTGCTCAGCATCAGAAAATAACTCTCCTTCCCCTTCAATAGACCCCTGCTCCATACTGGCATTATAAGATCCAAGCTCTGATAATGTCACTGTTCCAGCTTTGACTGAGTGAGCATGGGACTTTCTGTGTTTGTACAGGTTACTCTTGGTTTTGAAGGAGAAGCCACAGGGGACACATGGGTAGGGCCGTTCCCCTGTGTGTGAGCGGATATGTTTCTTAAGAACACTGGGTTTGGCACATGCTCTGCCACAGTAATCACAGACATACTTTCCTGGCTTCTGTGGTTTCTGCTCCAATTTAGTTGGGGCTTCTGACACCTGCTCCATCCCTGAAAGGGGACACTGTTGCTGGACTTCGGCCGAAGCGGGCGACTTTCTTTGACTCACAGCTCCTGCAGACTGTGCTAAATGTTTTTGCCTGCCACCAGAGAGGGGCTTTGTGGGCTGTATGGGATATGAAGACACCTCATAGTCTGGATGGCTTGTGGACTGCGCATTTGATAGCTGGTCTTCATATTGCAGAGATTTCCCTGAGTCAGACATTTCACTAAAACCACATATGTCTTTGCCCTGAACTTCTTCTAATTCTTGGGGCCACTCTTTGCTTTCTGATTCAATTGAAGGTCTCAGGGTAGCTTCAGATGTGCCTTTTTTCTGAGCCATCTTTCTATGCTGATCCTCAGCCGAGCCCTTCACCCCTGTAGTAGCCTTGAGTGACTCCATGAATCCAGTAAGCTCACTTTTGATCTGTTTTCAAGGACAGTGCGTGTTGTGTAACCTTATTAACATATATGTGAGTAGCAGGGAGGAGTCACCTGAAAGAATAAAGAGAAAAAAACAGGATTAAAACAACCCAGGATATCACAGTACAAACAAGTAGCACATAAATGTATCAAAATGTCAGAAGCAGAGAGAGACCTATTTGCGGATATGTCTTAAAACTTTCCCACATTAAACTGGAGTATAAAATGCAAAACAAGCTGAACAGCAGCAGGAATGGAAAAAAACTTTCCAAAGGTTCCCCATGTAAACCCTGGCAGGCATCCCAAATTTATTTAAACCACAAATGGTGGACTTCAGCTATGTAGTAAAATCCACCAATGAATATAAATGACTATTTTGTGCATGTGAGAGAATCTGTCTGTTAAATTGTACTTAAGGAAGCCAGTTTTATAAGTAAGTTTTTTTTCTCTTTGTAAGTATGAAGGCATAATACAACATATGAACACTAGCAGAAAGTACAATACTGAACACCTACTGACCGCTCATGGAGTCCACCACATTTCAAAATGTATTTATGTTATACTGCAACACATGTATTCAATCTGGTTGTATTAAGTTTAGGATAAACAAAATATTAGCAGCAGGGAATAAATAAATTCACAAAATAATTTAAGCTAACAACATGATAAGAAGAAAAAAGCGTTTAGTGCTTCAAACCCGTGGGCCTTCATTTATCCAAAACCTAAATGTTCTGCAAGGTGAAAACCTTTTTTTCTTGGAAAATCCAGGTAGTGTCTTAGAAGTAAAAGAAAAACATGAAGATTTGATCATTTAACCTTTAAATTGTCTCCATCTGTGCAAGTCTTGGTAAAATACGTGACAACCATGAAATGTTTCCTACATTTCAATAAATAAGTTGATTAGAATATCCAGGAAAGATTAAATTACTAGTTACTTAAATACACAAAAATGGGTAAATCAGACTTCATATCAATCCATTACAGAGAGCAACATACTTAATCTAATAAATTCAGTTTGTTCGGGGTGAAAACCCAACATTTAACACAAAAGTGTTAAGTTATGACGTGTATACTGAGGAAGTCTGATAACAGTCATATATACCCTGCAGCAGGTTAAGCCAAAGACGATTGCTGATAACAGGGTATTTGCGTAGCTTGATGGAAAGTTATGTGGAAGAAAAAAGTGGGCAATCTCTTAAAGGAATAGTACACCCAAAACATGATTAGCCTTCATTTTCTACTCATCCCCATGCTGAACAACACTCTGGAGTACTTTTTTGATATCTCAAATGCATCTGGAGATCTGGGAGGCTTCTTGCTGTCTGCTGACATTCAAATAATGGAGGTCTATGGCGCCCGAGGCAGAAAGGTCCATAAAAGTCCACAAAAAACGTGTCAATATTCCTCCATACTGCTCGTCCAATGTATTCCAAGTGTCCTGAGTGGGTAGCGTCCAGAATTTACTCGAAACGAAGTCATTTAGAATGTTTTTAGAGCATAAACAGTAGTGTATAGGATTTCCTAAATGCGCGCTCACGTCGCTACGCAAACCGCGGCAGACCAAACCAGATGAAAGTGCGCATTCAGTGTCTGCTCTGCCGATAATGCAAGCGTAGAAGAAGAAATGTGCCGTTTACCTGTGCAAAGAAAGAAACAACGAAAGAAAAATGTCTGAGGACTTCAGTGTTGAGGAAGAGCATGAGTTCTTTGCCGAGCTGAATGCGCACTTTCATCTGGTTTGGTCTGCCGCGGTTTCCGTAGACTCGTGAACGCGCTTTTAGGAAATTCTATACACTACTGTTTATGCTCTAAAAACATTCTAAATGACTTCGTTTCGAGTAAATTCTGGACGCTACCCACTCAGGACACTTGGAATACATTGGACGAGCAGTATGGAGGAATATTGACACGTTTTTTGTTGACTTTTATGGACCTTTCTGCCTCGGGCGCCATAGACCTCCATTATTTGAATGTCAGCAGACAGCAAGAAGCCTCCCAGATCTCCAGATGCATTTGAGATATGAAAAAAGTACTCCAGAGTGTTGTTCAGCATGGGGGTGAGTAGAAAATGAAGGCTAATCATGTTTTGGGTTTACTATTCCTTTAAGCCAAACTAATTATGTGTAACACTTTGGTTTGGTTCAACTCTTTATCAATCTGGGACTGCTCCCATCACATCTGTCTGGGTGGAAAATTCAGTAGAACCTTGCAAGCTGATTGGGTGAAGCAACACCTAGTGCCCACCTACCAAAGTTTAGCCAATCACAGAAACAGATAAAATAGTAGCAGACACCAATAGAGACAACAATAACTTAAGCTTGTGACAGCCCTGCTTGGGGCCTAGTGGTTAGGGCATTGCACTTGGGCTCCAGAGGTTCTGAGTTCAAGCCCCACTCCCACGGACTACAACTCTGGGGCCCTGAGCAAGACCCTTAACCCCTAGACTCCTCTCCTGGCACCGCACAGTGGCAGCCCACTGCTCCCCAAAGAGAGGGGTTTAATGCAGAGTGAATTTTATTGCTTTGTACTTGTGACAGTTTAATGACAATAAAGTTGAATTCTATTCTTGTATTCTATACATCCTCCTGCTCTGGCATGTTTATGTTGGTTCGGCTGTAGACTCAGCAGCTCTTGTTTTTTATCACAGCTATATATCCTATGATAAACCATAATACTACAATGTGTTTAGCTGACCCATTTTGGATCTATTTCTATTAGCTGAAGTGGGTGTGGTACAAGATAGATTCTCGTGTATCTGTGAATGCACAAATACGGCAAGACTTCAGTTTGCAGGCAAGGTTAAAAAGTGGGGAAGAAAAAGATTCATATCCAACAGCAATAAAATCAGCCTTAAATCAGCAATAAAATCAGCCTTCAGAAGTACCGCTTCTGAAGCTGATACAGTATTAGAAATACCTTTTATGCTCTATTGAGAAAAAAGATCCAGGATTTGCAGATAAAAGAACATTTCAGAGAAGGGGGTTCACATGCAGCCTTTTCACTTAAAAGTTTAGAGCCGCTTATACCTAAATTTGGTGAGTGAAGATGCTGATTTCATTTTCCATTAAGATTTGACACCTCCTGCTTAAGAGCCAAACCTACTTTAATGACTTTCTTACAAAGTTGGATTAGCCAGTTAATTGGCCTGAACTAAACCTCATAGTAGAAATAGATCAATACATGTTTTTTAGGCTGATACCAATACCTATTATTTTCTAACCACGATATGTGCTGCCAATTTTGGAGGGGAAATTCTTGAGGCCAATATTGCTATTTCTTGCTCCATTTTAATGATAATAGTGACACAATTATAAGAAATGTTACCCCAGTCTAAATTTGAATACATTAACAATGGATAGCAAATACAGGGTGCAGCAATGCATGCTGAATGAACAGATAAATCAGCGATACTTACATGTATCATGCAATATATCGGTCCCTCCATACCATCTACAGATTATTGCCAAGAGCAAGATGGGAGACAACAGAAAGGCTGAGCTATTATAGAACCCAGGCCTTCGTCAACAACTCAGTGCCACAGACTGACAGAAACATCCACAACTGTTTATAAAACCATTTTCAATAGCTCTTATGTAATATAACTTTTTCTAAAGATCTTAATTTTAGAGATTCTTTTTTAAATTAACTGAAATATATCCACCAGTGTTTAAATAGGAAATGTAGTAGTGTTGTAGTCAAGACCAAACCAACCCCAAGACCAAAAAATACTGAGACCAAGACAAGACCTTTAGGGAGCAGGACCAAGAACTTATATGGTGTTGGTCTCGGCCTCTAAAGGTCTTGGCCTTGTCTTGCTCTCAGTATTTTGTGGTCTTGGTTGGTTTGGTCTTGACTTAAACACTAACATTCAATTTCTGTATTGAATGCCTGAAATCAGATATATTGTTGGTGTTTAAATGTATTCAGATCCACCTGTTAAAGGAATAGTACACCCAAAACATGATTAGCCTTCATTTTCTACTCACCCCCATGCTGAACAACACTCTGGAGTACTTTTTTGATATCTCAAATGCATCTGGAGATCTGGGAGGCTTCTTGCTGTCTGCTGACATTCAAATAATGGAGGTCTATGGCGCCCGAGGCAGAAAGGTCCATAAAAGTCCACAAAAAACATGTCAATATTCCTCCATACCGCTCGTCCAATGTATTCCAAGTGTCCTGAGTGGGTAGCGTCCATAATTTACTTGAAACAAAGTCATTTAGAATGTTTTTAGAGCATAAACAGTAGTGTATAGGATTTCCTGAAAGTGCGCACATGCGCGATCACGACGCTACGGAAGCCGGCAGACCAAACCAGATGAAAGTGCGCATTCGGCTCGGCAAAGAACTCATGCTCGTCCTCAACACTGAAGTCCTCAGACATTTTTCTTCGTTGTTTCTTTCTTTGCACAGGTAAACAGCACATTTCTTCTTCTACGCTTGCATTATCGGCAGAGCAGACGCTGAATGCGCACTTTCATCTGGTTTGGTCTGCCGCGGTTTCCGTAGACTCGTGAACGCGCTTTCAGGAAATCCTATGCACTACTGTTTATGCTCTAAAAACATTCTAAATGACTTCGTTTCGAGTAAATTCTGGACGCTACCCACTCAGGACACTTGGAATACATTGGACGAGCAGTATGGAGGAATATTGACACGTTTTTTGTGGACTTTTATGGACCTTTCTGCCTCGGGCGCCATAGACCTCCATTATTTGAATGTCAGCAGACAGCAAGAAGCCTCCCAGATCTCCAGATGCATTTGAGATATCAAAAAAGTACTCCAGAGTGTTGTTAAGCATGGGGGTGAGTAGAAAATGAAGGCTAATCATGTTTTGGGTGTACTATTCCTTTAAGGTTTGTCTGTTGCCTCCAAGTGAACTGAAATCTTTCTACCTGTCTGAGCCTATAGTCTTCCCTCTCACACCGGCAGCACATGCTGAGCTGTAGGCAAATACATCTGGTTTAACTGAGCAGGTTTCTCCACCTCATCTCCACCTCAAGCCACAAGAATGGGTACCTGAGGACAAGTCATTTCCATCTTCTCACTATCAAATCCAACGTCCTCCCTAA